GAATCCCATTCACTGCTACAGACTAGGGACTGAATGGCTAGGCAGCAGTTCTGCAGAAAAGGACCTAGGGGTTACAGTGGACGAGAAGCTGGATATGAGTCAACAGTGAGCCCTTGTTGCCAAGAAGGCTAACAGCATTTTGGGCTGTATAGGTAAGGGCATTGCCAGCACATAAAGGGACGTGTTCATTCCCCTCTATTCGACATTGGTGAGGCCTCATCTGGAGTACTGTGTCCAGTTTTGGGCCCCACACTACAAGAAGGATGTGGAAAAATTGGAAATAGTCCAGCAGAGGGCAACAAAAATGATTAGGGGGCTAGAGCACATGACTTATGAGGAGAGGCTGAGGGAATTGGGATTGTTTAGTCTGCAGAAGAGAAGAATGAGGGAGGATCTGATAGATGATTTCAACTACCTGAAAGGGGGTTCCAAAGAGGATGGATCTAGACTGTTCTCAGTGGTACCAGATGACAGAACAGGGAGTAATGGTCTCAAGTTGCAGTGGGGGAGGTTTAGGTTGGATATTAGGAAACACTTTTTCACTAGGAGGGTGGTGAAGCACTGGAATGGGTTACCTAGGGAGGTGGTGGAATCTCCTTCCTTAGAGGTTTTTAAGGTCACGCTTGACAAAGCCCTGGCTGGGATGATTTAGTTGGGAATTGGTCCTGCTTTGAGTAGGGGGTCCGACTATATGACCTTCTGAGTCCCTTCCAACCCTGATATTCTATGATTCTATGACTGCCGAACCATGGGAGGTCAATGCAGAGTGCCAGCGGGTCTCCATAGGTGTGGGAAGTAGTAAATTATTATCTGTTTTCAGAAGCTCATAACTTTCTGGAAAATATTTCTTTCCAGCTCAAATTTTACATGCATAGGTTAGCCCCAACCTACAGATGGAGTTCTAAGGAAAGTTGGGGGGTGGGGGAGGTGGGGGGGAGTTCTCCTGCTTATGAGTTATGAAAGGTGAAAAAACGTCATACTTTTCCCAAATTTAAGTAATCTGAGATATACTTTTCCTCTTACAACTAAAACAAAACAAAACAAAAAAACAGACAAAACTATAATCTGAAATATTCATGTTAACTAGTCCTCAATAAGGATGAAGCCCTTATGTTATTTGAAAAAAAATTAAGTTAATTATATACATGTACAGTGGAAATTTTTGTTACTGTGGGAGCTACTATGCTAACTGCAGCTCTACATTAACATACTAATTAGTATCTTTGCAGATAAAATGGATTCTCTACTGAAATCTTAATTCTCCTGTGGAGCAAATGAGCTCTGCAGGAGGGAGCCCCTATTCTGAAGAGTTTATAAATCAGTGTAAGGGTCAGTTTTACAATGTTGAAAGCAACAGAGCTTATAAGCTCTCCAAGATCAATAATTTCCGTTGAAAGAATTTACAAATTCAATCAACAAATCCACGGATGTGTAAACTCTACAAGCCTAACGTGCGCCAAATTTTTCTTGGGTTTTTTTTTTTGGTTGGTTTCCTCTGTTTTGGGGCCGGTTATTTATTTTTGGTAAAAACCAGCAAATTAAAATACAAAATCTTAATGATTAAGAACCTAAGCATTAAAAATTAAGAAAATAAAAGTTACTGTATTCATGTTATCCATGCCATGTTACATATACATTGCATTTAGCACTCCTGTGTTGCTTTTAAAATTAGTATATTAATATACTGTCATTAAATATATATGGTATTCAGATTTTACTCATGACGTGTGAACATTACTATAAAAACTGTAACTTGATTTCTTGCCATGAGAGTTTAAAATGCATACCTTAACTATTGATATAGGTATGAATGTGAATTAACACTAGAAAAATCCCCTTCTGAAGGGCAACACTGATTTAAACATAATAATGCTGAAGTCAATTTTAGTGAAAAAGCACCTTTCTGAGGAAAGAGAGAAAGCTAAACCAGATCTACATACATTGAGGTGATTCTGTAAGCAAATAAATGTGTTTACAGTTACCTGTCACTGAGGTGAAGGAAACTGCTGCTCTCATCGGGATGTTCATCTTCAAAGCTTAGATTGGACCAGCTGCCAGTGCTATCATCACCAATACTGAGACTCATCTGCTGGCTAACTATAGATTCAGCTGAGTGAAATCCTTCTCTTCCCATAGAGCTAAACAAAAATGAAGATGACAGCATTACTAGGTGTATTTCACATGGTTCTGCAAAAATTCACTGAGCCTAATTAGCAAAGCAGGGGACATTTGTCAACTGACTCAACTATTCCCTTTTGGATTTACAATTCTCAGAGACTATATATTACACTTTTGTAAGGAGATTCAAGTCTGGGAGCACCACTTAGGACCATCTTTCACTGGGGAAGTTGGGCAGTAGCATGGACACAAACCCTAATTTGAAAAACTAGTTTGTAGCATTCCAGCATTGGCATAGCCCTAGTGCCTGGGCAGTTCAGTCTTGTAGACTTCACATTTACTACAGTGACTACACCTACACAGGGAGGACCTGGCATCTTTGGACTTGTCTGCACGACAAAATGTTAGCTAAAATTTCCCAATGTCACTCTGACCAATTTAGCTCCATCAAGGCTAACACAGTCACTGGCATTTTAAGCACCCTGTCATACAGAACTGCACAAGGGTAGACAACATGATGCTTAAAATGCTGGAGGCCTCCTACAGCCCTCTCTGTATTAGAAAAAATGTCCTAGTGTAAACATAGGCTTAGTCTCCCTGTTTCAGAAAAAACAGGCCTGTCCATTTATTTATAGACTTTTCCCCTCTGCACAAGAAGCCTGAAAAATCTAGACTTTCAATACCTAGAACCAAATCAAGTGAGCAGGCTTAATTTGCATTAAAATAATTTGCATTATAAAACCCTTCATCAGACCCATTCTAATAACACAAAAGAAAACTGAGGTCATTTTGCAAAGTGGTTCAGTCTGAAAATTTGCCTGGCAAGTGCATATAAACTACGCTTAGGGACATATTGTGGCTGCCCATGTGCAGCTGTGCTATGGCTAGAGGGTACAGAAAGTCCTATTTGCTCACCAACCCTTCAAAGGAAACAGTCGTAATACGGCTGCTATGTTCACAAAGTACAAAGATGACCATGATTGTGCTACAGACAACACTTCACATTTTAAATGGGGTATGTGTGGTTCTGAGGTGTGGCAAGAGTCCTTTTCCACAACATTAGCCAATACCATTAGGTGAGTGCTATGAGGGGAAGGAGGGAAAAGGGAGAGACAGGCAGAGACACACACACATACACACACACACTTTTTATACCGTGTACTAAGTACAAATGATGAATATGTTCCTCACAGCAACCTCTGGAGTCCGTATATCTTATAGAGCCACAATGTCTCCCTCTGACACTACTGGACTGGTGCAGAGCTGCTTCTCCAATCCATCATTCTCTTGGGCTCTCAGCACCATAATTAAACTTGAAACTTTACATGAAGTTTTGATTAAAAAGCTGCATTTCTGTACCTCTTGCTGAAAAGTGACATTTCTGACATCAACAGTATAAGAACTCAACAGCACTTTATTTATAAGGTATATTCTCATTTAATATTACATGTACTCTGAATAAGGATTCCAAATAATATAAGTACAAGGGCCAAGTAATATGAATTCTCAGTCTTCTATCTTTATATGCTACAGGGAACTTTCAGTGGAAGGTCTATACTAGAAGGCAATCAAAAAAGGACAGGAAAAGTTCCTTCAGTTTTGGTAGCAGTTCTGTGAAAGAATGAAAGATCTATCTTTTAGAATATAAGCTCTTCAGGGCAGAGACCATAATTTATTGTGTGTTTATACACATCATAATTTTGCCTTGAAAAACTGGGAGTAGCCTGGTTGGAGCCATTAGGCACCACCACAGTATGTTAACATATCCAAGTATTACATTATACATCACCAGACCATCTCAGAGTCAAGCAAATAAAACATAGTTTATTGCCAAGCAGATCTCACTCCAAGGCCATGATGAGATAAATACATTGTTATTAATTATTACTCAGTGAAAAACTACGCTGAAGAGCTAGGTTTTGCACTTGGACATGAAAATGGTGTTATTTGAAGTCACTCTGATCTTTGTAAAATCTATTTTCATTAAGAACTAGATGTTAATGTACCTTCTCATTTACTAATTCAACCACATTTGGTGCCATCTTCTATCAAGATATTTAAAGACATTCATTTCTTTCAATATACCTAAAAAATATGGTATAGTTTAAGGACTTGTAATACATTAGTCCTTATCAATAATGTAGAAGGAGCCTGCAAACCAGTTTCTAGTCTGCTTTAATAATCCTTTATCAACAAAAATCATATATAAAAATAAAATCATTCTTATTTAATATTTCATATATACACAATTTTTTTCTTCCAGAAATTGAGACAGTGTTAAAGTGCAATTACAATCAAAATAGACTATTTAAACACCTACTTAATGTAATACGTTTGCTCTTGGGATATGTCTACCCCCAGCCGCTAATTCGGCGGCTGGCAATCGAAGTTCTGGGTTCGACTTATCGCGTCTTGTCTGG